TGACATAACTAGTATCAATCCTCAAGAAAGTTAAATTGTTACGGCATTAAAGCAAGGAAAGCAGAAGCTCAGGATTCACCGTAGTCTGAAGGCCATTTCCCCCAGCGTCTTCCCCACCTCCCTATGGCATTCACCAAGGATACCCTTAGTCGGTGAATCGACAAAAGCTAAGTTTTCATTTGTACAAATGTAATAACTAAAAATAAAGCTATGGAATTTTATGCTTTTCTAGTGGACAAATAAATTAAATTTAAGCCTTAAAAGAAAAAGAAAACTAGATCCATTAGCAATTCTCAATTCCTAAGTATATAAATTGTTTTTTCTTATTATTAGGACTTCCTCACCATCCCCATTATTCCCAAATAGCAAGTGTCTCTTTGTGTTTAACCTCTGTTTAGGTTTATACATTGGCCATGTGCTGTGACTGTTCTTTTTTGAGAAATCATACATAAACTGGAAATATATACATATATATATACATACATACATTGATAAGAGATCATGATATGTAATTTCTTTGGATTTGGATTTAATGGATGAAAACCAAACAATATAATGCATATGAAGTACTCCACCACCAGTACTAGCCATGGAGACTTTTTTGAACATGCTGAACTAAAATGCAATGTTTTCACTAAGAATAAAAACAAAAGAAAAACCATGGAGAAAAACTATTCACTGTAATACTCAATAAACACCCAAGAAGATGGAGCTCACTGGGGTTTACAATGACTGATCTGACTGATTGGCACCTCTCTATCTCCCAAAAGAGCAACCTACCTGATAGAAGGGGGAAAAAAGGGCATCGAATTAGACAAATACACACAAAATGTGGGCTTTGTTTAAGCCTGTTTTTTTTTAAATAAAATAGATTCAGTCTAGAAAAAAACCTTTATATTTTATTATAATCTCAAATCTTATGGCAACATCTTCTCTAATCCTATTCCATTCATACAAAATCATATTCTGTGGTTAAAAGGCTTTATTTATGCTCGACTCTGATGGCAAAGAACACATTTTAAATTATGTGACTGTGTACTCTCTGAGAGGAGGAACTGCTTCAGCCTTTGTACTTCTATCACCTATTACAGAGCCTGAGGCATACAGTAAGTGCTTAATAAATGCTGGATTACCTGATTAATGAATTGTGACCTTTGGCCTCCTGTCAATGTCAGTTTAATCATGAAGAGAACGATTTGGGATTTTGTGAAGGCTGAGGATCCTTTCCACTTCTCTTCTGGAAGATAACAGCACTGACCTCGTGAAATGTTTCAGCGAGGAAATGAGAGAACGTATGGAGAGTGCTTTGGAAATCTTAAAATAACCGCCATTTCTATAGCAAAGGTTTGCAAGGTGATTTGTAAATGTTGCCACATTTTGTCCTCACAGCATTGTGGGGGAGGGGCAAAGCCAGCCTGCTTGGCTTCGAACCAGCTGTACCGAGCTCACGGGCAGCCAGCTGGTCAGTTCTCAGTGTGACCATTTACTCCTCAGAAATCAGCAAACGCCACAAATCAGGGTTGGAATTATTGTTTCCTTGAGTTTCTAGACTTAAGAAAATGATGCAGAAAATATTAATGATGAAGATTAACCTAAAAATGTGTAAGTCAATACCTTTTTGTCCCCCCTCTAGAGCCACTGTTGAACATTTAATGGCATACCCCTCGAGGTAAGCGTTATTTTTATCCCCTTAGGACAGATGAGAAAACTAAGGCCGACAGAGGTTAAGTGACTTGCCCATGGTAACACAACAAAGATGTGTCTCGAGTCGAATTCAAACTCAGATTTTCCTGAATCCAGGTCCAGTGGGCCACATAAATGTTAGCTTATGATAGCTGCGATTTGAACGTGAGCCTCCCTGAACTCCAGACTGAGTATTCAGCTTTGCCAAGCTCCACTGACAGGACAGTCAGAATCAAATTACTGTTTTATTTCAAATGAAAATTTTAAGACAGATGACATTTGTAAGAGTCAAATAACGCAGCTCTATGAAAAGTCCAGCAATTGTTCCATCATCATGAGTCTTTTCTCCACTCCTTCTAGACTGAGATATCATAAAATTAAATGAGCTACAACACACATGTTTATATGTATATGCAGATGTATACACGTATACGTATGAATACAAATGTTTACATGCATGGATATAACCTACTTATATGATATATATATATATACATACATGCATACACACATATTTATATGGTGTATATGTGTGTGTGTGCGTGTGTGTGTGTGTACACACAGAAGGAGGCATATATAGAAGGTTTCCCAAGAGTCTCCTTAAGCATAAACTGTAGTAAGACTTTGGGACCCCTGCACGTACCTACCTACCTACACACATTAACATACACATGCATTTTATCCATCTATATGTGCACAAACACATAATATTCACTACATACATACACACATGCATGTATCGTGACACACACATCACATGTTTATTGTGTATGCATATGCACATGCATACATGTGCTTATATGTACACATACACATAGATGATAGATACGCAAATTGAGACATAGACATAGTCATAGACAGACATGGAAAAAAGACACAGGTAGAGACATAGACAGATGTGTAAATCTGATAAACCAGCCAAGTAGCATTTCATCAGTTTGGACAGAATATTTTCTCAGGTATCTGTATGAGATCTAAACAGCACACTCCATGGCCACAGAGAAAAGTGTGTGTGGCAGCTGGTTGGTGCCATAGTGCACAGAGAGCTGGGCCTAGAGTCAGGAACACCCACCTCCCTGAGTTCAAATCCAGCCTCGGACACTTAACAGCTGTATCACCCTGGGCAAGTCATTTTACCTCTATCTGTTTCAATTTCACCTGTAAAATGGGGATGATAATAATATTCCCTACCTGCCCAGGTTGTATGAAGACAAAATGAGACAATATTTGTAAAGCAACCTTGCAAATCTTGAAATGCTGTGTAAATAAGATATGTATTTTGGGGGTTAGCTGAGAGAACACTGGACTTTTGGTCAGAGGTTCACAACTGAATTCATGGGTGCTTATGGCCAAGTTCCCATTTCCTCTCTGGGCCTCAGTTTTGTCCTCTATAAAATGGGGGTGTTGGACTAGATGAGCACTAAGGACTCTCAGTTCTTTGTCTTTTCTTTTTCATATCACTCAGAACACGTATTTAAAAACAGCATGATTACCATCGCACCGTCCCATGGGGCATTATTCAATTAACATTCAGTCAGTTGATTAAGAAGCAGTTATTATATGCCAGACACTGCACTATGTATGTCCTAGGGACACAAATACCCCTCCTCCCAGAAAAGATCCCTTGCCCTCCAAGAGATTACATTCCATTATGTATCATTTCTCAGTGTTTCCATACATAGCCCTCTCCTCCATGGCATGGAGGTGAAGCCTTGGTTCTTTGGGCCAATGGAGCAAGGTTTAGCCTATCCTCCAAAGCCAGAAACATTCCAGAGAACCTCACTGTTAGAAGGTTGACTCCCAGGCCTTAAAGCACTACATAAATGCCATAATTAACATCAGGTACTTTATATTTTCCATCCTAATTTGTACTGTCCTCCCTCCCCTGGGCTCCCTTTTGCAGTGAAGTTATGAATACACTGGTTTGCTTGGAAGAATCATTTAAAGTTCCTCGTAGACTGTCATCTTCCATGACACAAGTCGGGATATAAGCCGCAGTCATCTCCGTGGTTTGCTTACATATCATCACAAGGACTCTAAGTTAAGGTGATCGCATATGCCAGATATGACATTCTTGATTCCAGTGGTCATATGACCTCTGCCACTTTATATACTCACCTCTTTAAAGAGAGTTTAAACAAATTGTAGTGTGGGAATGTGATTGCAATATCATGGCACCATAAGAAAGGATGAATGTGTGTGAGGAATTCAAAGAAACATGCCAAGACATATGGACTGTTGCTGAGTGGAGACAAAAATTAGGAAAACAACATAAATAGTAACTATAGGACAATAAAACTAAATTAAATGCTTTGTAATTGTGACCAACCTTGGCTCTGGAGAATAGATGTGGAAATGCACTTTCCTTCCTTCATTGCAGAAATGGGGGATTATGAACGAATGAATGAATAAGTGAAAAAGTCAGTCATTTATTAAGAGCTTCCTGGGTGTCAAGAAGTATGTTAAGAGTTAAAGATATGAACAGAGAAGCAAAGGTAGACAAAGAGCTGACATTCCGATGGGGAGATGGCACACATAGGACCACAGAGAGGAACTTTGGTCAGGGACGTACACAGATGGTAAATTAGGCTACAGGGGAGAAGATTGACACATCCCATCCAGGAACAATGCCAGAGAGTTGAAATAACTATGTGTCAAGGTTCAAAAGCTGAGAGGAAGAGGAAAGAAGGAAGGAAAAGAACATAGAAAGGCTCAAGATCGGGGGAAGAGTTTGGAAAAGAAGTTCGGAAAGTAAAGAGGAAAATTAAACATGGTGGCTAGGGCTTCCCTGAAATAGTGGCCTATAGGTACGGAGTCTTATATAGGCTGTCAAATGTGGTTGCTGCTACTTCTTTTTTCCTGAGTTGTTTGGTTTTCTCTTCAAATCTGTTACAAGGTAATATTCATAGTCCCAGGCTAAAGGGAATGAGGTTATATTCAGAAATGAAGGTAATATGAAAACAAACTCATCAATACAAAAAGAAAAAAAAATCAGTGGCTGGCATACTTGTCAATCAATAAGTATTTATTAAGCACCTACTATGAGCCAGGTGCTAAACACTGGGAATATGCAAAGAAAAAAATGTCCTCAAAGATCTGATATTCTAGTGGGGGAGAAAATATGCAAAATAATGTAGATACCAGATACCTATAATGCAAGTGGAAAGAAATCTCAAGAAGAGGCACAATCAGTATGTGGGGGTTGGGGAGAAGGACAAGACAGAGTCCAGGAAAAGGCATCTGATTAATATGCACAGCAGCAAATCTTGTTATTCAGCCAGTGCAAGCAAGACCTTAATGACGAGGTACCAGCCAAATTAGCGAAAGCAATATATTTATTATTTAGTCAAGAACCCATGTTTTCCCTGTATGTCAGGAAGAAAAGAACAAATTAATACAGTTTTATGAATCCTAGAAGAACCTAATATTTACCTCTGGGATGATACGGCCAGTGACAAACTGACTAGCCATGTTTTCCATTATCTTCATATTACCATCTATACTTTTTTGTTATACAAATAGGTATATGCGTGCCTATATTGTCAACATTTGAATTGTATGTGTATATCATATACTATCTATAGTTACAGAATGTGTATATATACATACATTATAATATCTAAAATTAGGCAGAAGAATTTAGTTTTCTAGAGTGAAAATCAAAGCATGAAGACATGGTTTCTATATCAATTAACACATCCACCTTATTTAAGTCAAAGCCTACCTTATTTAATAAATTTGCCGAATCATCCAAAATATGCAATTAAACTCAGCAATTAAGTCAAAGTTACTGAAAAGCTCAGTTCCTTTTTAAAGCAGATTTCTAAAATTAAGTTTATGGTATTGTTGACTCAGATATTACAAAACTTTGGAAAAAAGATGCTTATTTTATTGATACACTTAGCCTGTTCCTTTTAACTAAATTTTGGAAAAAGAAAAAACAAAAGCAAAAAACTAGAGAGTATGCTATCCCCTTTGCTGGGGCATGCAGATGCTCAACTCTATAGCAGAGCAGATAGGAAACAACTTGTTTACCTATCGTCCACCTCAGTCATGATCCCAACACCTAATTTGCCTCCTATGTGGAGAAGAATAACTAGATCTTAAGTAATCTAATCTGACTGAGCTAAAGATAATGGAGAGTAGACACCTGAGCTCCATGGCCACTCTTCACCCTTACCAGATAGAAAGAATCATAACCTACACCCAAGAGTCAGTCTCCGAGATGAGACACTCAATCAACCATCCAGTGGAAATCTAGTGCCCTGACATGCCTTACATTTAGGAGGGGTTTAATGCACATTTGTTGAACTGAATCTTAGAGAAGCCTTGGCGTCCGTCACTGGAATGTCCTCAGATGTGGGAACAAGTCCTGACTGTCAAATATTGGTTCTGTGTCCTAGGATAAGTCATTGAACCTCACACACTTCCTCATCTGCTTGTGTGTTAAGGTTTTATTGATGTAGGGAATTCCCAGTGAGTAAATTCCACCTACCAATACAGATCGGCACCCCTCTTGCAAAACAGTCTCAGAGAATTGCTTGGAGCACTGAAAGGCATGTGACTTGACCAAGATCACCAAGCGAGTATGTATCAGAGGCAGTAATTTAAATTCTTTCTGACTGGGGTCCTGTTTTCTATTCACTGGATCATGCTGTTTCTCATCCTCCTTAAAAACTACTTAAACTCACAGACATTTCCTGGGCCTCAGATGAGATATTCCTGATATTATAAGCAGACACTTCTCTTTCCAAAACTAATACTTTCTAATGATAAAGGGTTGTGTCACCATGAATCATTATATTTTGAACCAAATGTCAGAGACTAGAATAGGAATTCTTTGGGAACTGGGAGCATGTGTGGCTCATGCTATGACCCTGAAAAGTCATTAAGTTGTTTTCACCTCTGAACCTGCATCCCATTGCATTCTTTCTCTACAAAGGCAATCGCTCTGTGTTGGTTAGTGCCAAAGCCTTGGAGGGCAAGTCCAGTGGGACTGAAGTACTTAGAAGAACACAAACACAAGCCCAAGTACACAATACGATTTATGTGACACAGAGGCAAACAGGAAAGAATAATGTCATGTCTTCAGTATTGCTGCAAGTGCATTTCCCATGCTCTTGCAAAAGGTAATGGCCACGATCAACTTCTGTGCAGGAGGAAAATCTCCGCTCAATTCAATGACTATACTCACCACCACCTTCATCAACCTTAGAAAGCCTTGCCATTGTATCACCCATCTCTTTGGCGGTCTTGGCCAAAAGCAACAGAACATCTTCATCTTCTTCCTTTCCTGCTCCAGAAGCCTGATCTCTGCAGCCATCACTTGCACTCTTTTTGGTGATTTCTTTTAAGGAAGAATGGCATTCTGTCTCTTGGTCTTCCCACATTCCCTCAGGGTCCCTCCTTTTTGACTCAATTTCTCTTCTATCCATGACGCCCTGGGAAAGGGGGTATTCCTCAGCTTTGTCCTCTTCATCCATATCCCTGAAATCTGAGTTTTCTTGGTAAGTTTCTTCTTGGCTTTTCTCCCTGTAGGTTCTCTCATCCCCCCTTTCAGACATATCTTCACTGGAACTAGAATACATATTACTTCCGGATGAGCCTGAGAAGGAAGTTTTCCTAGCTACAAAGAGGAAAAACAGGGACAACATAAGAGTTATTTTTATCACCCCTATATCATTTTCAGTAACCAGCTGGTTAAATGTTTCCAGTCACTTTAGTAATTTCTTTGACCTCAGAGCTATCAAGTGTGCTCGAAAGTACTCTGGACTAGAGGCAAGAGTCATGGGTTCTAGTTTTGCCTCCATCACCTATTGATTCCATGACCCTAGCAAGCCATTTCCCCTCGCCTGTAAAATGAGATGCTGGAGGCTGTGTGGATAGTGAAAAGAGCCCTGTGTCCAGAATCAGAAGACCTGGGCTCACTCCTGGCTCTCATGTTTGTAACCTGTGTGAGTGTGGACAAGTCATTTAAGTTCCCTGGGCCTCCATTCCCTCATCTTCACAATGGCAGGTTTGGGCTGGATGGCATCTGAATCCCTTTCCAGGATTGTGTCTATGACCCTAGGACTACATGATTTTAGATCACATAAGGGCATTCAGTTAAAGGTCATCTAGTCTAATCTCTTCACATTTTACAAATGGGGAAATTCAGGCCCAAAGAAAGTAAATGACTTGCCCGAGATCACACAGACAGAAAGTGGCAGAGTTGGGATTCAAACTTAGGTCCCTGTACTCCACATCCCACTCATCTTCCACTATACCAACCACACCACCTTCTTTACCAGCTCTTATGTTCTAGAAATCTTTGGTGGTTCATGGATGAAACAGCTCAAAGGTTTAGGGATATATATGCCCACCTCTATTCCATGCAATTATTTATTGTGGAAAAAATTAAATACATTAGAATCCTATGAAGTTTTAAACAGTGGCTACAATCTGACCAACCAGCCCTTCTGACCCCCAAGCCAGAAGCATCTGTTCTAAGCATCTGTTCTAAGATGCTATAAGAACAGTTACCAAGTTTTGAAGACCTGCAAGTAAACATCCATGTTACTTTATAATTAATCAAACAATGTCACATTGATGGAACTTGGGGCAGGGTTAGGGGATCCATTGGATATAGGGAGCTTAACAAACACTTGGATTAATAAATAAATTTAATTATTTCATGCTAACATATTTATATCAGTATACAATGGTACAGATAGTGGTCAGGCCCAGATCTAAACAGGAGCAGGATGAGAAAGATGGCGGCAGAGACAGCAGGCAGTGCTTTAAGGGATACTGCTCTCTAATACAAAAGCACATCTTCCAATCATTCTTCTCCTCCCACTGATGCTTTACAACTACATTCTACTGCAGTTGTGGCAGGGCCAAGATCATCGGTAACCCAAAGGTCAAGAGAAGGGCATATCATGGGCATAGTTTGTCCCTGGCATCTTACCAATGAAAATTCATGGATGAGAAGTGATACACAAGATATAGAGTTATTTGGCTAGGAATGGACATGGGAAAGCTGCGGAGCATGAACGAGAACGGAGGATGGACAGTTCTAAGGGCTGCATTGGTACCTGAAAAATATTAAAAGAATGGAGAGTGGAGCTAAAATGACAGAGCAAAGGCTGGGAATCACCTGAACTCTCCCAAATTCCTCCTCAAACCAGGTTAAAATAATGCCTCAAAATGAATTCTGGAGTGGCAAAGCCCACAAAAGGATGTAGTGAAGCAACTTCACAGCCCACGACAACTTAGAAGGCCAGCAGGAAAGGTCTTTCTCACCGGTGTGAGAGTGGGGCACAGTCCAGCACAGACTGCCCCTGGTGAGGCATCGTCCCCTGGGCCCTAACACAAGCCAGCAGCAAGGCGTCAGGCCCTGGACCAGGCAGCCAGCAGCAGGCTACTCCTGGCACAAGCCAGCGACAGGTTTTGGGGACCATTGAAATGGCAACAGTGGATCGTAGAGCTCTCAACCCACAGATGGTGAGGGGGGCAACTGGTCAGAAGGAAATTACAAGAGATCTTCTGCTGGCCTCAAGTGCGAGACTCTGCTGCATTGTTGATTCTATTGTCATTCTAGAGCATAGAATCACTGTCGATTCTAGATCAGAGTCACAGGGCAAGGGGAAGACTAGCAGAAGCAAAGTTCCAGAGCAGAAGAAGCGCTTGTGGTCATTCACAGACCAAAGCACAGGTAAGGAGGGCCTGACCCTACCTCCCCTTAGATTGTACCACTTGGGAAGAACTGAAACTCATAGACACCCACCCCTCAGAATGAGCTTTGAAAGCAGCAGCACAAAAATCCGGAAGCTTGAGATGGTGCCCTCACCATCTCAGGAGCAGAGCCAAACTTTAACAGAAAATTAAAAGCCAAGAAAAAAATTGGAAAAGTGAGAAACCACACACACACACACACACACACACACACACACACACACAAACCTGACTATAGAAAGTTACTATGGTGACAGGGAAGATGAAAACACACACTCAGAAGAAGACAACGAGATCAAAGCAGCTACGTGCAAAGCCTCAAAACAGATGTGAATTGGTCTCAGGCCCTGGAAGAGCTCAAGAAAAGGATTTTTAAATCAAAGAAGAGAAGCAGGAAAAAATGGGGGAAAGAAATGAAAATGTTGCAGGAAAGAGTCAACTGCTTTCTAGAGGAGGAACAAAAAATAATGAAGAAAATACCACCTTAAAAATAGGCCAAACATTAAAAGAAGCTGAAAATCCACTGAAGGAAATTCCTTAAAAAATAGAATAAGTCAAATGGAAAAGGAGGTACAAAAACTCACTGAGTAAAATAATTCCTTAAAAATTAGAATTGGGTAAATAGAAACTAATGACTCCATGAGACATAAAGAAACAATAAAACAAAGTCAAAAGAATGAAAAAAAAATATAAGGAGATGTTACTATATTATTGGAAAAAACAAATGACCTGTAAAATAGATCCAGGAGAGATAATTTAAGAATTATTGCACTACCTGAAAGCCATGATCAAAAAAAGTGCCTTGATATTTTATTTCACAAAATTATCAAGTAAAACTGTCATGATGTCCTAGAAAAAAAAGGGTAAAATAGAAATTGAAAGAATCCATCAATCACCACCTGAAAGAGATCCCAGAATGAAATATGAAAACCCCAAGAATATAATAAAGTCCTGTGCTCCCAGGTCAAGGAGAAAATATTACAAGCATCCAGAAAGAAAAAAAAATTCAAATATCATGGAGCAACAGTCAGGATAATACAAGATTTAGCATCTTCTACATTAATAGATCAATGGGCTTAGAGTATGATATTCCAGAAGGCAAAGGAGCCAGGATTACAATCAAGAATCACCTGCCCAACAAAACTGAATATATTCCTTTGGGAGAAAAAAATGGATATTAAATGAAATTGAAGACTTTCAAACATTCCTGATGAGAAGACCAGAGCTGAATAGAAAATTTGACATTCAAACACAAGACTCAAAAGAAGCATAAAAAGGTAAATAGAAAAGAGAAATAATAAGGGGTTTAATATGGTTGAACTGCTTACATCCTACATGCAAGATGATACTTCTAACTCCTAAGAAGGTTTTTTTTTCTTTATTTGGACAGTTAGAGGAAGTATATATAGACAAAGGGCATGGGTCTGACTTGAATATAAGGGCATGATATCCAAAAAAATTAAATTAAATTAAGAGCTGAGAAAAAGGGATGCACTGGAAAAAGGGGTAAGGGAGAGGTTGAATGGGGTAAATTATCTCACATAAAAGAGGTGCTAAAGAAAGAGCTTTTACAGTGGAGGGGAGGGTGGAGGAGGTGGTGAGGAACAATGCTTGAACCTTGCTCTCACTGCAACTGGCTCAAAGAGGGAATGAAATTCAAACTAAGTTTGTTATAGAAATCCATCTTACCCTACAGAGAAGAAGGAGGAAAAGAAGGGGGTGGTGATGGAAGGGAGGGCAGATTGGGAGAGGCAGTGGTCACAAAGAAAATACTTTTGAAGATGGACAGGGTGAAAGGAAAGAGAAGGAAAAACAGGGGGGAAAGCAGCATAGAGGGAAATAAACAGTTAGTAGTAATCACTGTAAATGTGAATGGGATGAACTGCCCCATAAAATAGAGGTAGAAAGCAGAGTGGATTAAAAACCAGAATCCTACAATAGGTTGTTTACAAGACTCACACTTGAAGCAGAGAGACACACAGAGTAAAGGTAAAGGGCTGGAGGAGAATCTACTATAGTTCAGCTGAAAATAAAAACAGGGGTAGCAATCATAATTTCAGACAAAGCAAAAGCAAAAAGAGATCTAAAAAATTAAAAGAGATAAGCAGGAAAACTACATTTTACAAAAAAGCACCATAGAAAATGAAGTAATATAAATACTAAACATGTATACACCAAATGGTATAGCATCCAAATTCTTTGTGGAAAAGTTAAACGAGTTATAGTAGGAAATAGATAGTCAAACCATACGAGTGGGGGACCTCAACATGCCCCTTTCAGAACTAGATAAGTCTAACCAAAAATAAGAAAGAAGCTAAAGAAATTAATAGAATTTTAGAAAAGGTAAAGATGCTACCCCTCTGGAGGAAACTGATCTTCCTAATTATATATTCCTAAATATTCCCAAATAATTCCTAAAAACCAATTTCCCTAATATAGGAAAATAGAAAGGATTATACCTTTTTCTCAGTAATACATGACACCTACACAAAAATTGACCATGTATTAGAGTATAAATACCTCACAACCAAATCCGTAAAAGCATCCTTCACAGATCATAATGCAATAAAAACTACATTGGTTAAAGGCCCATGGAAACATAGATTAAAATTAATTGGAAATGAAATAATCTAATTGTAAAGAATGAAAAAGTAAAAAAAAAATCATAGAAATATTAATTTCACTAAAGAGAATGATGAATCAATATGCCAAAATTTATGGAATGTAGGCAATGCAGCATTTAGGGGGAAATTTGTATTTCTAAATATCCTTACATCATCAGACTAGAGAAAAAGCAGATCAATGAATTGGGAATTCAACTTAAAAAAAAAGAGCAAATTAAAAATCCTCAATTAGACAGCAAATTATAAATTCTGAATATTAAAGAAGACATTAATAATATTGAAAGTA